TTGGGGAGTGAACCAGTTGATGGAAGACCTCTCTCTCTCTCCCTTTCTCTCTGCCTCTCATTTTCTCTCTGTGTAATTTTGACTTTCAAATAAATAAATAAATAAATAAATAAATAAATAAATCTTTTTTAAAAAAGAGATACCTGCACTTCCAGGTTTATAGCAGCCCAGTTTACCAAAGCAAAGATATAGACTCAACCTAGATGTCCATCACCGGCTGACTGTATAAAGAAAATGTATATAGACGATGGAATATTACTCAGCCATACAAGAATGAAATCCTGACATTTGCAAAAAGTGGATGTAATTGGAGATCATTATGCTAGGTGATATAATCCAGACCAGGAGGTCAAATATCACATTTTCCCTTATTTGCGGAAATTAATATGTGGAGTATAACAATGTGTAGGTGTCATATTATTAGAGTATAGTTAAATATTGCTTCACTGAACGATACCATGTACATGGCAATATACTATTTTCCCCACATTATGATCATTGTTATAAATACAACACTTTGCAATATTAATGTACCTGTTTTTAGAAAAAAAAAGTACATAAAATGGGAACATTTCACATAAATATTCCAGAGGAGATTACAGTACCTTATGAGAAATCTCAGATTTCTTAACTTGTAACACACCTCTCTCCCCAGTGTATATCTTCAGGTAATGATAATGTTCAGGGTGTGATTATTCTTAAGTAACAGAAAACCATTTTTATATTTTGCATTCTTTCCTGACATAGTCCTCCATTAAAGAGAGAACTATTTAAATACAGCCAGAGTTACTGTTCTACATGGAATTAAGCTAACATTGGTGATTATTTATCTGAATTCAGGTGTGTGGCTTCAATCACCATGGTTCTTCATTACCACTTCCCTTAATACACAAAATAACCTCCCTTTTAATTTTCCATTCAGTCTAAGAGTTAATTTAATATTTAAATCAAATTTGCATATGAATAAAATTATCTGTTGGTTAGTACTTTTTTTTAAGATTTATTTTATTTATTTTAGAGGCAGAGTTACAGCCAGAGAGAAAGGTCTTCCATCCGCTGGTCTGCTCCCCAAATGGCTGCGATGATTGGAGCTGGGCCAATCTGAAGCCAGGAGCCAGGAGCTTTTTATAGGTCTCCTACATGGATGCAGGGGCCCAATCACTTGGACCATCCTCCACTGCTTTTCCAGGCCATAGCAGAGAGCTGGATCAGAAATGGAGTAGCCAGGACTGGAACCAGTGCCCCTATGGGATGCCAGCGCTACAGGCAGAGGCTTAACTTACATCACGGCACTGCCTGTTGGTTAGTCCTTAGCCCATGGTTTCTGCTATTACCTACAGAGCCCGCACAATACAATTTCCTTGGTGTCTGCTGTCTTATATCCTGCTATGTATCTAAGACCTAGCACCTGTTCATTTGAAACACTTGTGTTCCTATTGAAAATAACAAAATCCTCTGCTGGTCAAAAATTCTGCCCATTTATGTCTGTGAATAATTAGTTTTAAAATATGGATAATTATTAAAGCTTTCTAATCATTTAATGTTATTAAAATTATTTAACATTTCTAATAAAGTTATTTAACATTACTTATCACTTGATTTTCTGTGTACCCAAAAACATGAATAATTCATCAAATATGAGTACGTTATTGGGTGCCTAATATGAGTGATAATGTATCAATTTATTTCCAGTAAATCTTTTGGTCATTTACTTTAAATTCCTAGTATTATGTCTACAGATGGTTTTCTATACCTCTTAACATATCTATTCTGATAACAAACTTGTCTTTGGGTCATATAGTTCTCCAAATATAGTATTTTGTAATTGCTCTTATTAAAAATGCATTTTCTGTATTATATTAATGAAAACCAGGAATTAGTTTCAATTTTCACTCCTCATGCATTGCAAAGCCAAATGGAAAAGTTCTAACTTCCATTATATTACACAACTCTTTTGCATCTATAAAAATATGGGTATTTTAATCTCTTTTCACTCTTTCACCTGTGGCTACATCTGTTCCTAGGTATTTTTGGTAACTATTTTAAACAGGACTTCTTTCTTCGTTTTTCAGCTAGTTTATTATTAACGTATCCAAGCACTGATCTTTGTATGTTGCTCTTCTATCCTGAAACTCTAATTTGTTGCTGATGGGAATGCAAAATGGCGCAGCGACTTACGAAGACGGTGTGTCAATATTACAAACACCCTCTATCATAAAACCCTGCGGCCAGGCTCCTGAGCATTTCCCCATGAAAACTGACAACTTATGTCCTCACAATGTTGGTAGCAGCACACGGGTTTGTAGCAGCCTCACTCATAATTGCTCGAACAAGCAAGCAACCAAGATGCTCTTCAGTAGGTGGACAGAGAGTTAAACTCTAATGCATGCATCCCATGGAACATTCTTCAGCATTTTTAAAACATGAGCTATGAAGCCATGAAAAGAGGTGGAGGAAACCTAGATGCATATCAGTGAGTGAAGGCAGCCAATCTGGGAGGGCTCCCTCTGTGTGCTTCCAGCTGTCTGGTGGACTAGGAAAAGCAGAGCTATGGAAACAGCATGGAGATCAGCGGTTGGCAGGAGGTAGAGAGAGGGAGTGATGGATGGTGGCACTCAGAGGATTATTAGGGCTGTGAGGTTTCTGTGCGACACGGTACATGTGGATACGCGTCGTTATACTTGTGTCCAATCTACAGGGTATTTAAGGCCAAGAGCGCCCCCTGGGGTAGACTTGGGAGGAAACACGTGTCTGTGAAGGTTCATTCACTGCGCTGAGTGTAGCACTCTGGCGGTGGGTGTTCATGGCACCCTGGTGTGTGTGTAGGAGGAACAGAGGTATACAGAACCCACTTCACTTTCTGCTTAACTTGCTGTGAACCCAGAACCGCTGCTCTCAAAACAAAGTTTGTTCGTTAATTTTGAAAGTTAATGCAGTGAGAACACACACACACGCACAGGAATTAAGACACCACAAAGTGGCCGGCGCCGCGGCTCACTAGGCTAATCCTCCGCCTAGCGGCGCCGGCACACCGGGTTCTAGTCCCGGTCGGGGCGCCGGATTCTGTCCCGGTTGCCCCTCTTCCAGGCCAGCCCTCTGCTGTGGCCAGGGAGTGCAGTGGAGGATGGCCCAGGTGCTTGGGCCCTGCACCCCATGGGAGACCAGGAAAAGCACCTGGCTCCTGGCTCCTGCCATCGGATCAGCGCGGTGCGCCGGCCGCAGCGCGCCTCCGCGGCGGCCATTGGAGGGTGAACCAACGGCAAAAGGAAGACCTTTCTCTCTGTCTCTCTCTCTCACTGTCCACTCACACCACAAAGTGATCTGTGAACACTAAGTCACCCTTCACCTACAAAACTGCAACTCCAAGGTCAACTCCACGGTGACCATAGCGGTCTCACTGCACGCTTGTAACTGGCTTGTCTCCCAGATCCACTTGAACATCGGCCTCTCCAGTCTCAGGAACATCTTGCCAGCTTTTTCTTTCGGACTGTGATGAAGGGTGAGACTCTTAGTTCCAAAGAAGGAACATGGGACTGGGAAAGACTGAGATACTAGGAAATCAGAATCCAGGGGGCTGGCGCTGTGGCATGACTGGGTAAGCCACCACCTGCAACACCGGCATCCCATAAGGGCGCCAGTTCAAGTCTTGGCAGTGCCACTTCAATCCAGCTCCCTGCTAACGTGCCTGGGAAAGCAGCAGAAGATGCTCCCAAGTGCTTGAGCTCCTGTGACCTACGTGGGAGATGCAGATGAAGCCCCTGGCTCCTGGCCCAGCTCTGGCCATTGTGGCTATTCAGAGAGTGAACCAGGAGGTGGAAGGTGTGTGTGTGTGTGTGTGTGCACACGCACATTGCAAATAAATAAATCAATAAGTAAATATTTAAAAAGGAACGCAGCATCCAGGCAGGCCGAGTGCAGAGGGAGGGGGCATCTGCTGGGGAAGGTGGAGTGAGGGCTGGCAGGGATCAAGGTGCAGAGATGACATCGGTAGCAGGATAATATTCTGAGAAAAGAACTGAGCTGTCCCTATTCTCCCACCTCCGCGCCGCTCCAGGTGCCCCAGCACTCTCAGAAACAAGCCCTCTACACACACTGCCCGGTGGGGCAAGGACTGGTTCAACCAACACCCAGGGTACACGTTTGCCCTTGAGTTCCAGGGCACAGAGACAACAGTCTTGAAAGAGGACTTGGGTCTGCAGGAGCCAGGCTTCCTGAGAGAGGACGGAGCAGTGGCCTCCTTTATGGGGCACTTTCCATGCACCAAGCGCCGTGCTCAGTCCCTCACACGGAGCCCCAGGGACAACCCTAGGGCAACAGGTGTGGCTGTCGTGCCCATTCGACCACTGGGGAGATGGAGGCAGGGAGGATTAACTTCTCCAAGTCTCGCTGTAGCATCAAGCCCGGGGCCCAGGCCCCAAACCCGTGGGGGTGATTTTTGGTCTGTCTTTGAATCTCAAGAGTCCAAGGCTACGGCCCTGCCCCCACCCGCCCCAAGATGGGCACCTGGGATGAGAGGGAAGGAGAAGGCTGGGAGTGAAATGGGGGAAGGAGGAGCCCACCGTGGCGCACCCTGGGGCTTCAGCCAGTATCTTTCAGCCAGGCAGCCCGGGCAGCATCAGGGAGGCTAAAAAAGGGTTGGGGGTCCAGACCCGAGCAGTGGCCAGGGACACACATGCTGGCAAGAGCAGGGACGCAACTAGAATCCCCGAGGCTCCCGGGGTGGAAGCTGCAGGCACTTCCTGCCCTGGGCGGTGGGCAGGCCAAGGACCTCTGTCTTGGGGGCACTCCTAGGGGTCCAGCACGACCCTATATGGGTCTGTCCTTAACTCCAGTCCCTTTCCTGTTTCCTGTCGTGGGATGTGGTCCACGCTTCGGCTGGAGAAGAGCCCACTGCCGGTATGGGGGCCCTGTCCCCAGCCAGAGACACACACCAGCCCACCCTGCACCCTCCACGCCCATCCTGGGTCCCTGCAGCGTCCCCTGCTGGCTCCTCGCAAGGCTCAGGCAGAGGAGAGAGCACAGTTTATTCCTGGGATTGTGCAAAGCTGGATGCGTGGGCTCGGGTGGGGCCCAGGCCGGCCGCGGTGGTCACTGCGCGCCTGCACTCAGCGGCTCCACCCGCAGCCAGAGGCCGCCCTCGGCGCGCAGGATCAGCTCCGGCTTCCTGCGCGGCTCGGCGCGGTCGGGCAGGACGCGGAAGCGCAGCAGGGTGAGCGCCAGCGCCACCTTCATCTCGGCCATGGCAAACGACTGTCCGATGCAGTTCCTGCGGGCGAGGCTGGGCTGAGACTGCGCCCGGGTCCGCGGCCTGGGACCCTCCCCACCTGCCGGGTCTGGGGGACACAGGAGGGGGCTACCCGTGCCTGGGACCCCCTGCGGTCTTGTGCATCCCCTGACCCAGCCCCCAACTCAGATCAGTGGACCACGAGGGTGTGCTGACTGCGCGCAGAACTCTCTTCTGGGAACCTGACCCTGAGGGGTCCCTGGGGCAGAGACGGAGCAGCCCTTGTCTGGGACCCCCTGTGCGTTTCCATATCCCCCCGCCTGTCCCGGACTCCAGCACCCAACTCGGACCAGTAGTCGGGGACCGAGGTTCTGCTGCTGTCCGACCAGCACCCGGCCCATCGCTCCTGCACCTGGTGCAGGATCTTGCTGGGACCCCCGGGGGCTTTCCTATCTTCCCACCCTCGCCCAGACCCAGGCCCCAGCCCAGGCCTGCAGACCAGACAGGGGCTCTGCGTCTCCTATGGGCCTTCTTGGACCAGCTCTGCTGCATTCCTCGCCCCCGACCTCCCAAGGAAGGGAGGGAAGAAACCCAGACTCAGGCCTCAGCAACGCCCCCTCCTCACTTCCTCCCCCACTCTCATGCCCAGACCCTGCCCCGTCACTCAGCCCGGCTTGGACACCCACCGCCCTCACCTGGGCCCGGCTGAGAAGGGGATGAACGCCAGCGGCGACCTGTCCTTGACCTTCTCTGGCTCGAAGCGGGAGGGGTCATAGACCTGGAGGCCAGGAGGGGACAGGGATGCTGGGCGGGGTCTCCCAGCACAGTCGGGTCTGGAGACACAGGCGTGTGTGCGTGCATGGTGGGGGAAGCTGGTGTCTCACTGACCCGCACCCTGCCCCCTCCTCCCTCTGAGACCCCGGGTATGGGCAAGGGTGGAGGTGGGGAGGGCACCTCGGGGTCCGGCCACACAGCTGGGTTGTGATGGGTCCCGAAAATGCTGATAACACAGATGACGCCTGTGGGAGAGGGGACAGGGCAGTGAGGACAAGGTCCCCGTGTCTGGTGGACCCCCTTCCTGCCCTGCCCCGGAGGCGCCCCCTACTGCTATGCGGGCACCTTTGGGGATGACCCGGCCGTCGGGGAGTGCCACGTCCTGGGTGCAGCAGCGAGAGATGACCGTGACCGCAGGGTGCAGCCGCAGGCTCTCCTTGATGCACATGGTGAGGAAGGGCAGCTGGGCCAGGTCGTCCCTGAGGAAGACCCAGACATTGTCCAGGGAGCAGCACAGAGCCCACCGCCCACCTGGTACCCGCTGAGAGCTTTCTCCCTACAACGTAATAAACTTGGATGGCCCAGACATCTGAGCTGAGACAAGCAGAATAGATAATGAGAAAAGCAGAAAAGGAGGGAAATACCAGAGAAAATAAAGCCAGTCATTTTTGGAAGATATTTTTCACAAAGTCAAGCACAAACACACAGAAATGATGAATGCGATATGAGGTATTTCATCTGATCATTATGCTTTGTTACTTATATTGCAATGTCCCACGGTACCCCATAAATATGTATAATCATTGTGTCAACACAATGATGTCTAAAGTAGAAATTAAAATGACCTGTAAGAAAAGGTAGAACATTTGCTTAAAAATGATGCTGAAGATGGTCAGGTAGACATAGATAAAATGATGATTGACAAGGAGTTGGTTAGGCAGATAGATGAAAGTTGGTAGACAGGATATGTAGATAGACAGACCTATAAAAAGATAGCTGGATTAGATAGATATGTTGATAGGCTGTTAGATACACAGCCAAGCAGAGAGACAGATGATATGTTCTTATATATATTTATACTGCAGTGCTGGTATCCCATATAGGTGCCGGTTCAAGTCCCTGCTGCTCCACTTCTGATCCAGCTTCCTGCTAATGTGCCTGGGAAAGCAGTGGAAGATGGCCCAAATCCTTGGGCCCCTGCACCTACATGAGAGAACCGGATGAAGCTCCTGGCTCCTGGCTTTTGCCTGGCCCAACCCTGCCTGTTATGACCATTTGGAGAGGGAACCAGTGGATGGAAGATCTCTCTCTCTGTCCCTCCCTCTCTCTGTGTAACTCGGACTTTCAAAAATAAATTGTAAACATTTAAAGAGCAGTTTTCAAAATTGCTCAGAGGATACAACTCAAATGTTTTCACATATAATGAGTACCTGAGATGGCGAATACATCCGTTTGTTAGATTTAATCATCCCACATCATGTGTATATCTTAACTTCATGTTGTATCCCATAAATATATATAAAGTTGCCAATTACAGATAAGGGACAAAGTTAAAAAATATCCATTTTGCAAAACAAATATTTTGAGAAAAAGAAAAGATCTCAGTGATATATTGCTAATATGCAGGCTTGGGTCTATTTCATCAACACAGTCAGATTTGCATAGAAAAGGGGGTTGTTGTTCAGAAAGTGTTAGCGTAAGAATAACCATTTTCTGTAGAGACAGAAATCATTGACAATGAGGTTTAAGAAGGCAAGTCATTGTTATCATAACACTCATTTTAAAAAACCAAGTGCATAAGGTTGCTCCAGATTTTGGTTTTGAAAGGATAAAACTGCTTCTCCACCTCACAGGGCAGATGTCCTGAGTAAGGGCTAGTGTGGGAGGGCGGATGCGTGTGCCATGCCATCCCTTCTCCACATCCACCCTCTGCCAGGCTCAGGTCTCCTCTGTGCCCTTGTCCTCATGCTTCTTATCTCTGGTATGCCCTCCACAGTAGCCCTGGGAGGATATTTCTGGTACCTAGATCTGACAAATATGTCCTCTGCTCAATCACTTCCCATGGTTCCCTGGGGTGAAGACTGAGGCCATTGGCACTATTTGCCAATTCTGCAACCAGCCTCCACTGTCGTGTCCAGTGTTATCTTCTCATCATGACCCAGCACTCTCCTCCCTGCTTCTTCCTCACTCCTTGGCCCTGGCTTTCTTCTGAGCCACAGCATTGTGCCCACTGAGGCACCCGAATAGGTTCATCGTTCAGGTTCTTGGGTGAGACAACTGTTTTATCTCTAGCCTTGCTTCTCCACTCTCATCCTTATCGCTACTCATGTGGACTGGGCTGGGGCTGGTCCCCATGAGGATGGAAGCTCCTAGAAGACGGACCCCTGGGAGAGGTGCTTCCCAGGTCTCCAGAGCACAGAATACAGCTGGGAAGGCACTGTGGGCTGTGTTTGCCAAGACAGTCTCCTGGACGGATGAAGATGGCCTTCTGTACACGAGATGCAAGGCCCTTCCCACCAGGTGTTCCTGGACAATAGGGCAGGAATTAGGGGGCAGGAAGAAGCACAAATCTTCAGGGAGGGAGGATGTTTGGAGGGGGAATGAAAGTTCAGGAAGGAGAGGAAGGGAGTGGGAGGGAAGCGCATTTAGAACCCAGAGTGTTCTGCCCCACATGCCTGCAGTTTCGCCTGCCAGACAGCCAGTGCACCAGGGAGTAACAGCAGAATCAACAAAAAGACCTCCCTCCTGCCCCACTGTGGAGCGCTGACCCAATGAGAGGGGCTTAGGGACAGGCCAGGAGGACCCACACTCACCACTCAATCTCTTTAAGTTCCCGGTCTCTCAGCAGCTCCCGCACCTCCTGCCGGCAGCGCTCTTGGTATTCTGGGTGCTGTGCGAGGTTGTACAGGACCCAAGAGAGACCGCTGGCCGTGGTGTCGTGGCCTGAGGGAAAGCAAGGCGTGCTCGGGTCTCTGGGCTGCTTCAGCACCAGAGCGTGGAAAGCGCCCCTGTGTGGAGGCCTCAAGGAGGATGGGGAGACTATGGCATGATCTAGGACCAACCCATCACGTCCACGGGATGCAGAGACGCCTGCCCCCACTGCAGTCCACATGGGACTCTCACCCTCAAACATGAAGGTATCAGCCTCTGCCCGTATGTCATCATCTGACAAATGCTTTCCATCTTCATCCTGGAATCAACACGAGATGACCACATCACACTAGCTCCTGAGACTAACCTGAGACAATCTTTAAACCCCTGTCATTCACTCAGTGACCCAAGCCCACTGTGTACCCCCAGATCTCTCTCGGTGACCATACAGGACCCCCACCTCTCGGGCCCCCTCCTGAGCTTGCTGGGAAGAATTAATGATCCATGAGTATTTGCATGTTTCTGCATGCTGAAGAGTTTCTGAGAAAAAAATACTGACAATCTGGGATATAGGAGGACTGGGCATTAGTTTGCCTTGAAAGTCTGAGATTAAGTGTTGCTCCAAAGATACTGACTCATATGCCAGGGTGGCAAGTCCACCTGGAGGCATTTTATCTGGAAATCTGTAGATAATCTTTCCACTGGAAAGATTTGTTTATGCTTTAGGACTAAGTATCTCTCTCTCTCGCTCTCTCTCTCTCTCTCTCACACACACACACACACACTGAAGAAAGAAAGTGTCAAGGTGCCACCAGACTCATAATACAGAGCCCCATCTGTCGTGCAGGCCCTGCTGCACATACAAATAAAAATGTTGCCTTGTCCTGGGGAAATGTGGGAGGGAGAAGCCAGTGCTATAGTCCCGATGTGGCTGCTGTAAATTCTGTGAGCAAGGAATTAACTGCTCAGATTTGGGGTTTTGGCGCCCCTGTCAGTAGAGGATGGGGATAGATTATGTAGACTTGGACATAGACATTGATTGTGGCAGACTAACTGATGAACTTGCCAAGAGTAAAATTTCAGCCTCTTCCCAGTCTCAGACTTAGCAGCCCCTGATGCCTGCATTCCATAGTCATCTCTTAAATGTTCCCTCCCTTCTCCTAGTACCTTCCAGGGAATGCCAGATCAAGTCCACATGCTTTTAACTGACACTGGGCATAATGCTGCCTTTGACTTGAGATCCTTGGGAAGCCCACCTTGGTCAGCAGGAGCACATCAATGAAGTCCAAAGTCTTGGTCTTGGCCTTGGCCTTGAGGAAGTCGTCAATCTCCAGATTAGGGAGTGTGCGGCGCCGCTCCTGGATGACGGCATCGGTGAAATCATGCACCAGGCGGCAGGCCCTGCGGAAGCGTTGTCCATTGAGGGTGAGGTAGTACAGGAGGTCTGTGTGCAGGAGGATTTGCTGGTGTCTTTTGACTACAAGGGCACTGAGCTCCAAGATGGCAGCAATGTAATCACTGGGCTTCCTGCAGGGTGAGGTCATAAAGAGAGGCAACAAATCAACACATCTGAAGCCTGAGGACTCTCCCAGCAGCCAGCAGCTGCCTCCCATCAGGAGACTGTGTGTCTGCAAGTAGCCCCACAGATCAGCATGAGACTTGCCTCTCCAAATCCACTCCTCCCTCTGCACCCACCCCCTGCCCTGTTTCTGTGGTACAGACACCCAGAGCTCAGTATCTAGGGACATTATACTCTTCTTATTTCTCTCTTGCCCCTTCTCTCCTTTTTGAAATTGTCCATGGACATCATCCTGCTCCAACAGACCCAGGGGTGGCCCTGTGTATGGCCTCATTGTCTCCAATGTCAATTCCATTACGTGTCTACATGACAGTTCACAAAAGTCAACTGTGACCAAGCCCATCATCTTCACAAATACGTCCAGACTTCTCTGGAAACCTCAGGATAACCCTTCATACTGCCTTGACTGGCTTTGCAATGTTGTTAAGAACTAACTACTGCCTACCCCTTGAACCAAGGTATCTCTTCACCACCTGTTGCTCACACTCTGCTCATCCTGGCCTCCCTGCCTTCACGCAAACGTCTGTCTCAATCTGAAAAGGCCACTATTTTTCTCTCTCTCTCTCTCTTTCTCTCTCTCTCTTCCTGTATATCAATGCCTATATCTAACCACCTCCTCCAGGAAGGCTGTCCTGGTTGCCAGTCAGTCCTCTCTCCCCCACCTCCTCCCTTGAGTTCATGAGCCGAGTTCCCATGCTTGGGCAAAGACTCACTCCTGACAATTGCTGTCGAAGCTGAAGACGCATCTCTGCAGACTGTCCAGGGTCATGAGGCTGACGTGCTCAAACATGTCCAGACGGGCACTGCCCTCCGAGGCCAGGCGCTGCCACTTAGCCTGGCCAGAGAAGAAGAGAGAGGCAGGGCTGGGTCCTGGTTCTCTAAATCCAACCACCATGTTGGACTCTCCCAAATTCAGCCTCTCTTACTCTGCCCCAGGCACTCAACCCCAGGGAGGACCAACCCTGGTGGGCATGAATGCTGTTACTGTCTAGAGAGGAATACTCTGGACTTGGTCTCAAGAGACCTGGGTCCAAGTCCCAACTCTTCCTGTTGTTCTCTGAGTGCCCTTGGTGAGCTCATTACTCCTCCCTGAGCAATGTCAAGTCTACAGGAACAGCTGAGTTGACCTGTTTGGGTGCCAGATCAATCAAAGTGATGTCAATGATACACATTCCAGAAACCTTTATCAATGGTACACCATTCCAGAAAGTGGTGTCAAAGGTATACCATTCCAGACTCACTAACTGGGTGAGCCAGGGAAAACTCTCTAATGTATCTGACCCCTAGCTGCATCATCCATAATGGGGTACAAATAACCTGTACCTCACAGGGTTCTGAAAATTAAATTAGGCAGAATATAGCATGGAATTGGCACATGTCATCATCTGTAGTATGTGGTGAGTCTTCACTCAATCAATAGTAGCCATCCTCATCTTCATAATGATATGGGGATTTCTTTTTTTTTTTTTAAAGATTTATTTGTTTGTTTTGAAAGAGTTACAAAGAGAGAGGAAGAGGGATGGAGAGAGAGAGAGAGATAAGACGAAGAAGAGAGGAGAGGAGAGGAGATTTTTCATCCACTGGTTTACTTCCCAGATGTCTTTCTGCAATAAAGTCAGGAGCCAGGAACTTCATATGGGTCTCCCTCATGGGTGACAAGGGCCCAAACACTTGGACCATCTTCTGCTGCTTTTTCCCAGGCCATTAGCAGAGAGCTGGATCTGAAGTGGAGTAGCCAGGACATGAACCGGTGCCCATGTGGAATGTCAGTATTACTGGCAATGGATTTATACACTACACTACAATGCCAGGTCCCATCATGGGGGAATTAAGAAAATACCCATATGTTGGGAGAGGTAGTTCTCCAGGGGGCCCTGAGCACCCTTGCTAGGTATGTCAGGTGTTCTAATCCCTCCTTCTCTTAACCTGATCCTTAACCTTTGAAGATAATACTGAGGGGTGAGGTATGACTGCGCCTGTACAAAAGTCAGGAGTCCTTTCACTTGCCATAAAAACAGACTTCCTAGTTTGCACTTCCAATAGCAGGGTATTCAGAAGTGTAAACTAGTACGACTGGTATGGAAGAGTCCTCAGAAATCTGAAACTACATCTACTGTATGACCCAGCCATCCCACCCCTGGGAATTTACCCAGACGAGAAGAAATCAGCATATAAAAGAGTTATCTGTAACCCCATGTTTGTAGCAGCTCTATTCACAATAGCTAAGGTATGCAATCAACACAGATGTCCATTAACTGATGACTGGATAAAGAAAATGTGGTATATATACACGACAGAATACTGCTTAGCCATAAAAAATAATGGAATCCTATCTTTTGCAAAAAACAAGCCAAACAAAACCATGAATGCAACTGGAAGCCATTATGTTTACTGAAATAAGCCAGTCCCCAAAAGGCAAATATATGTTTCCTCTGCTATGTGGTAGTTAATATAGAATACAAAAAATGTATAAGAATGAAATTGGCATCTTATGATTTGATTGCTGTTATAGCCCTTCTCTATATTCCTGTACTGGTCTTTCTACTTTTTGCTTGTTGAACATTATGGCTAGTAGTGCATTAAGCTTCTGATTATTGAGGAAACTTGAAGATGGTATTGGAAAATTAAAGAAAAAAGAAAGTAAGGGAGGAAGGAAGGAGGGAGGGATGGAGAGAGGGAGATGGGAAGAGGAGTACCACTACCTTCTTAGAGTTGTGTCTATGAAATACATAACATCTGATCTCTTTATATTAACAAAACTTGATAAAAAACTCGATTTCCTAAGCCTAATTCTCATACTTTGTAATAGACTATACCATATGAACAGGCATCCATTGAATCTCAATTGTGGCACCCACATGTGTTTTGGGTGGCTTGGAGAAAGGTTGCAAGCCAAAAAATTTAGAGACACAATACTGTTTGTTTGGTGAGTTATAAATCCCCTTTCGTCTCTGATCATGGGGTCCCATGTTTTCTGGCAGAACCCATGAAAACAGTAATGAGCTAAGTTATCAGACTGTTTGTGAGAAAAAAAAATCTTAGTCGCTTCACAAATCCTTTACCCCAATTCTCTGCTTCTCCCTGTATCCACACCTCTCACAATGGAACTTCTCAGCAACTTCTATTAACAGAGAAAGTCTACATCGCTCCCTCCTGCTTTGATTCTTTGACCAACAAAAGGTGGTGAAAGTGAGGAAATAATAATGCCAACAAAGCAAAGCCTCCTCTCACTCCTCTGAACTATTGTCTCTGCCATGAGAGCTGAAGATGTCCTTTCTCAGAGAGGAAAACACTTGGAAAAAGTCAATGTGACCAAGCTTAGATTGCCCTAAAGCCAGCCGAGCCACAAAAGGTGTGACAACAGAGCCAGGATCACCAGCGTTGTCTCCTGACCCACAACTTATCGTGCACTGTGAGTGATCCTATTCACTTCAGGAGAACCAGCCACATGATCTATGGGCTTATCAGCAGTCACAAACCCTCATTGCTTGAAACCAATGGGTTTTGAATGGCACACAACTCAGAAACAGTCACTATGAAAGCTTGCTCGCCAACATCTTGAGTCTGTTGGAGTTTCTGTGAGACAGTCTTGGAGACTGATGCCTTCTGAGCACCTACTGTGTGCCAGGAACATGATTTCATGAAATCGTCTTGAACACCCTTTTGGTAGTTTTTAAAATGCCTCATTCATTTATTTTAGTGTCAGAAGATAGATAGATAGATATACAGACAGATAAATAGATATAGATGAAACCAGAGATAGAGATGTGAGAGACAGGCGGCAGGAGACAGGGTTCCCATCTACTGGTTCACTCCCTAATGCTTGCAGTGGCTGTGGTTAGGCCAGCACTGAAACTGGGAGTTGGAAACCCAATGCAGGTCTCCCACAAAGGAGAGACAGGAACTCAAGGACTTGAGGTATCAGCTGCTGACTCTTAGGGTGCACACTAGCTGAAAATTGGACCCACGAACTGAGTTAGGATCCAAACCCAAGCACTCTTGTCTTTTAGTTAGGAGTCCCATTACAGTGATGAGCAAACAAGCTCAAAGGGAAAGACACAACAATAGCCTCATAGCTACCCACAGATCAAACAGCTCTGAATGGAAACGTCTGTGGCCACTTTTGCTCCAGAAACTCCATCCAGGGTCCTGGGGTTAAGGCACTCACATGCATAACATTTACACTCTTGTTGAAAATCTTCATGTAGGGCTTCAGGATGTTGAAATGGAAGGCGGGCGTCAGCATGCGACGATGGCGGCTCCACTTGTCACCGGCGCTCAGCAAAAGCCCATCCCCTAGGAGGGCAGTCATGGGCAGAGGACAAGGCCATCACCTCCCCCTGGCCCCCCAAGGGTGGCCTGAACCCTCCCACCTTCAGTTACTCACCCAGCCATGGCTCCAGGAATCTGTATATTACTCTGTCCTTGGGTGCAATGGCAGCTGTTGGGGACAAGGACAATCAGGGGCCATGAGAGGGCAGAGGAGGGACCCTGGATGGGGTATAAGCTGTCAGTCATCAGTGTGCACTTCCCCCCTCCCAACCCAACAAAGCAAGAAGGGTACCAAGGATAGAGAAGGAAAAGAAGGAGGGAAAAATTTAGTGGGAACCAGACCAGGCTTCAAGACGCACAGCAGAGCAAAGGCACATGCTAACATGGCCCATCATACTACATCATGCCTTCACATGGCTCCAACATGGCATACTGTGTTCTGCAACACCTGAGCACAGCACAGCTCTTAAAACATTCTTGCATGGGTGTCACAACTGTGGCATAGTGGTCTAAGCCTCCGCCTGTGGTGCTGGCATTTCATATGAGCACCAATTTGAGTCACGGCTGCTCTTCTTGTGGTCCAGCTCTCTGCTATGTCCTGGGAAAGCAGTAGAAGATGTCTCAAGTGCTTGGGTGCCTGCAACTGCATGGGAGACCCAGAAGAAGCACCTGGCTCCTGGCTTCATATCAGCCAAGCTCTGGCTATTGTGATCATTGGGGGAGTGAACCAGAAGATGGAGGACCTCTCTCTCTCTCTCGCGCGCGCGCACGCGCACGCTCGCTCTCTTGCTCTCTCCTCTCTCTCTCTGTAGCTCTACTTCTCATATAAATTAATTAAATTAAATATGCATTGAAACTTCTCTCTCTCTCACTGTCCACTCTGCCTGTCAAAAAAAAAAATCCTTGCATGAACCTAGGATACTGCTTGCTCCAAAGCACTCTGAAATCTCCTCACTTGCACCTGGAATATGGTACTTGGCCCCAACATGTCTTAACATGTCCTGACATGATCATAACTTTTACAGCCTTCCTGGACATGGCATAACATGCTCTGACATGGAGCTGTGACCATCTGACATGACTCCAGCGTGCCCCACAAGCAGAACTTAAGTATGTTCCTATTGATATCTTAACTGTGATCCAGGCAAGACCTAGTTGGGCAACAGACATGACTTGAATATACCCTCAGACATACCTCAGACAAGACTCAAAAAAAAGGTGACAGACATTTCACAAAAGAACCTGAGTTACAGATCTCAGATGAGTCCCCGATGTGGACAGGCATGAGTAGTAGGACAAAAAGACAAACTTAAACCACATTACAGACAAGAATCTGCCATGCCTCCAATGCCCTTGGCCATGTTGGGCTCTGGACATGATCATCTACTACATTCCAAAGCTAAGTCCACAACAGGTGAACCAGGTATAACATACGCCAGGTGTAACCAAGGACCCAGGTATAAATGCAAATGTGACAGGGTGAGACCATGCATGGCTGTGTCTCTGCCACAGCCCTTCCTGTCTGCACTTGGGTCGCCTGCTCAGACAGAGGCAGCACAGAGACCTTGGCATCAGGCAAGCGGTGGCCACCGTGCTATCTACCTGGAGCAAAGAGCACAGGCTTGATGTGGGTGGGGTGGAAGATGCGGACGACTGCGTGCCAGGGCCCCACCCACCAGCAGCACACATCCCCAAACGTGCGTGCCAGGCCCTGGGTGTACAGGAGGCCTTCCTCTGAGCTCTGAATCTGGAGAAGAACAAAGAGGACCGATGCAGGCTCTTCTAGGCTGCCAGAGAAGGACCTGTGGGCAGGGACCCAGACGGAGCCCTGGAAATTCGACCCAGAGCCCCATCCCCCTCTCTGAGCGCTGAATCCCCTCCTGGGCTCCCTCCCCACGTCCCTGGTGCGGGGCAGCCAGAATTTCACAGTCTCGGGGTTGCAGAAACAGCCGTTCCCCGTTTGGATCCACGAACCTCATCAACCTGGGTTCTCATCCATCTAATTTTCAGAAGCCACAGAGAACAAGGGTCTGTGTAGGATCTCCTCACTTTCTGGTGGACATTGCCCATTCTTTTATCATTGATCTGTGTGCGGTGGAGAGGGCAGAGGGCAATGGGAGGGGGCAGTCTCCTAGAGGAGATTCCTAGGCACTGGAGCAGAGAGGAAATGATCATGCAGGGGACAAACCACTGATCAGGGCAGAAGGATCTGTCCCATCAGAGGTGGCTGTCACAGAAATAGTAGCCCAGAGCCTCCACCTTACTCTGGGCCTGGGCAGAGGCAAGGCTGCTACCATCGCATGCTACCGAGATCCACTGCACCAACATTGCAGCACCTGTTATCACTCCAGAACCAGCTGTGACAGGTCCTCCTCCAGGGAGACTTCAGCCTGGCCCAACAGAGATGTGGCACCTCCTCTGAGCTGCTGCAGCCCGTCTCCCTCTGGCTTACTCCTGGCCACATGTCTCAGTTCTGATCTGTCTCTTCAAAACAGGGCTCAGCCTTGGACTGAAGCCTCCTGGAAACACAGAGGAGCCCAGCACTCCAGGGCAAGGGGGTCAGATAGCAGTGGAGGAAGAAGACAGTGGTTGGAGGTTGGTGAATGCATGAAACAAAGAGGAAGATAGCTGGGAGAGAAGAGGGGAGGGGGCCAGGGAGCACTGGGGGCTGCCTAGCCACTTGGGGCTGAGGGGGCTGGAAGTGTCTGGATGCACCATGGTGCCCACCACCACCATCACTGCCCGGGTACCTGAGGCGTTCAGGACAGGTCGGACAACGTCAGGGTGGCACAGCATGACGAGAGGCATGATGGGGCCCATCCAGATCAGAAAGCCTTGGGGAAAGGCGGTCACCAGCTGGGTCACTTCCTTCATGCCCTCTTCTGTGGAGTTGACCTGCAAGAAAGGTGGGGCAGTCACCTCCTGGGGTGGTTCATTTCCAGCATCAACTTGACTGAGCTAAGGGATGCCCAGAGAGCTGATAAGACATGATTTCTGGGTGTGCTCTGAGGATGTTTCCAGAAGAAACATGTGAATGAGCAGCATGTGAGTGGATAGCCTGGGTCAGGAAGGTATCCTGTCTCCAATGAGGGCAGGCATCGTCCAGTCCATTGAGAATACCAAGGCAGAGGTGGAGTGAATTCACTCTCTGTGGGGGGTGGGTCACCACATGCTGTCCTCGGCCACCAGAACTGTGGATTCTTGGGCCTTTGGGATCAACAGCTTACACTAGCAGCCTCCTTGGGTTCTTCTCAGTTTTTGCACTGAGACTGAATTACACCACTGGTTTCCTGGGCCATTGGACTTCTCAGCCTCCATAATCATGCAAACCAATTCCTGTAATAAATCCCCTCTTTGATAAATAATTAGGTAGATAGACATGTTAGAATGATAGATAGATGAGAGAGATGATGATGGAGGAGGTATGCATAGATATATAGATGATGGTATGACATATACAAAGATAATAGTCATATAGTTAAAAGTAGAGTGGTCGGCGGGCGCTGCAGCTCAATAGGCTAATCCTCCACCTAGCGGCGCCAGCACACCGGATTCTAGTCCCGGTCGGGGCGCCGGATTCTGTCCCGGTTGCCCCTCTTCCAGGCCATCTCTCTGCTGTGGCCCTGGAAGGCAGTGGAGGATGGTCCAAGTGCTTGGGCCCTGCACCCCATGGGAGACCAGGAGAAGCACCTGGCTCCTGCCTTCGGATCAGTGTGGTGCGCCGGCCACAGCGCACCAGCCGTGGCGGCCATTGGAGGGTGAACCAATGGCAAATGGAAGACCTTTCTCTCTCTGTCTCTCTCTCTCACTATCCACTCTGCCTGTCAAAAAAAAAAAAAAAAAGTAGAGTGGTCGATAGATAATATGTACATAGATATAGGTAGATGAGAGAGATGATGGATAGACATTCATAGATACAATGATACATATGTATCTAGATGATACATATATATAGATACATGTATATAGATGTATATAATAGATATATGTATATAATGATACATGTATACAGATAGATTACAGTTACAGAGATGAAAAGAATGACGGATAGGTAGATAACAGATGATAGATACATAGAACAATATATGCACAGATTATGGTTACATATATAAAATGTTGGATAGAGAAGTAGAGAGATATAGACAGAGAGATGATAGATATGGATAGATAGAATGATACATGTAGAATACCATTATATAGATAGAATAATGGAAAGACAGACAAGATATGACAATAATAGTTACATAGATGATACATACATACATGCTAGATGGACAGATGGTAGAATTATGGGTCAATAGCTAACTAGATAGAATAATAGAATGGTGAATGAATGGATAAGTAGATGATAGATAGATAGATTATAGTTGGCCTTCTGCACCACAGGTTTGGTTAAGTGTTTCTTTTTTTAAAAGATTTATTTATTTATTTGAAAGTCAGAGTTACACAGAGAGAGGAGAGGAGAGGAGAGGAGAGGAGAGGAGAGGAGAGGAGAGGAGAGGAGAGGAGAGAGAGGTCCTCCATCTGATGGTTGATTCCCCAATTGGCCGCAATGGCCGGAACTGCGCTGATCCTAAGCCAGGAGCCAGGAGCTTCCTCCAGGTCTTCTACATGGATGCAGGGGCCCAAGGACTTGAGCCATCTTCTACTGCTTTCCCAGGCCATAGCAGAGATCTGGATCTGAAGTGGAGCAGCCGGGTCTCAATCTGGCGCCCATATGGGATGCTGGCACTTCAGGCCAGGGCGTTAACCCACTGCGCCACAGCGCCAGCCCCTTGGTTAAGTGTTGATCCAACACATTTAAAAAATAAACTCAATCTGTACAGTGTAGGTATAGCTTTGTTTCTTCAGTCCAACTATGTACACACCTCACACATTGTTTTAGATACTGAGTCATATAGAGATGATTTAAAGTATATGGGAGAGTTATGTGGGCTCTAGGTGAACATTATGCAACTTTATTAAAGGGAGTTGAGCATCCATGGATTTGGGTCGGGGGCAGGCGGGTCTGGAATGACCCTGATGGACACCACAGCGATGGGTATCCATCATGCTATGTATGCTATCAAAGCCTGATGCTCCCTCCAGAAGGAAGCACGGCAGGTATCTCTGCAGGACCCAGAAGTGGCACAGCCTCTGCACTGTGCAGCAGGTCTGGATTCTGCAGGAAGTGGTAGGGGGGGACCACTGCTTCTCCCCGCCCCTTCCCTCTGGGACTCTCTCTAAATCAGAAGGGAGCATCCCTGGTCAGAGGGAGCAGCATGCTCTCTGTCCACAGGGAGGCCCACCTTGGCTCAAGAGGATGGGTTTACTCATCCTGGGATTGGTTCCCGCTCAGGTGCAGCCACAAAGGGAGGGTCCACATGGGAACAGTTTCTGGGGACATCAGTATGGCCACAAGCTTTGTCTCTAAGTCCGCTTCCACATCCTCTCATGTGCTGCCCAGTCCACACGGCCTGCAGTCTCTCCACGGAGGAGGGTCTGCACACTGGGGACCCTCCAGCCTTGGCAGACCCCATGGAGAGCACAAGTGAGCCCTGACTGTCCTTGAGAACTGGGGCTCCCACATGTGGGCACCTTCTGCTCCCCAGGGTCTGCGCTGAGTGCATCCCGTGCACCCTCTCACTGAACCTCTGCACACACCCATGGTGCTGCCACCCACAAGTGAGACAGCTGAGGCCACACTGCCCAAAGGGGAGAGCGGGCCTGAGCCACAAGAGGGACCAAGGATTCTCAAAGGGGAAGTCGGAGGCCAGTGTTCATGCAGTTGGGCAACAGGGCCCCAGGGTGCATCTTAAGGAGGAAGAGTGAGATGACAGGAAGTGGCCAGAGAAGGGAGGCACTGAGAGACACCCACACCTCTGCCCTGGTCCAGCTGTGCCCTGTGTGTGTGGACCTGGGGGGATCACAGCTCATCCCTGTGGGACCACAGCAGCCAGACCTGGGCAGGCACGAGGAAATGGGCCAGATGTGAAGCTGACCCTGGATGGTCCCATCAGGAGGCCCCCAGTCCAGCATGGAGAATGCGGGGAGGCCAGGGGTCTCCCCGCTATGCAGCCCACCCTGGAATCCCTTGGCAGTTCCCTCTAGGTGGGGAAGGCAGGCAGGAAAGAGGTATAAAGCCAATGAGGGTGGGAGAACAGGGTGTTTAAAGGCTTGAGAGGAGTGGCTGAGTGGCCTCGCTCACTGCCCTGCTGTCCTAGACCCCAGCTCCCTCCTGACTCCCAGCTCCCAGAGCCCCACCCCTAGCCCTTTAGGGGGTCCATTCACCCGGATACCCCAGCCCCTGTCTGTGGCCACACTTACCAGGTGCAGATGCCCCAAGAACCAGTTCCATCTGGGAGGTTCTGGAAAACTTCGGAGGGTTCGAGACATTTTATGGAAAGCGTGAGTCCAGGTCAGGATGCGGGCCAGGAGCCAGGAGGCACCAACCAGCAGCAGGAGCAGCCATGGGGAGACTGCCTCAAGCCCCAGCCCCAGCCCCAGCCCCAGCCAGGACTGGCTCAGCTGCAGCATCCCGCAGGCAGTGGGAAAGAGAACAAGGGGGCTCAGGGCAGTGGAGAGGCAGGAAGTAGGGTAGGGCGGGCTCTGGGCTGGGGATCCAGCCAATCCAGACAGAGACAGAGAGAGTGGAGATGGTGTGTGTGTGTGCGTGTGTGTGTGTGTGTACCAGCTTGCCCCAAACAGCCTCCTCTCCCGACCACCCTGGACTGCTTTTGGCTAGCTGCTCTAGGGAAATCTGTGGGATGAGGCCAATCTGGACAGGGCTGGGCTGGAACTTCCAATCCCCACAGGTGTGGCTGCCTCCTCCCAGCCTGGGCAGCCAGCCAAGAGGGCGGGGGCATGGCCATCTGGGTGACAGGAACCAACTCCGTCCACAGAGCGCTTGGCAAGAGCTCTGTGGAACGCCTTCTGATCCAAGCAAGGGGCAAAGGTGACTCTGGGCTGACAAGTTCACAACAACTCCCTCCCCTTCCCAGGCCAGAGTACAACAGGAGAAAAAAAACGTTGGAAATTGAGACTGGGAACACAGCCAGGTTTAGCCTTAGCTCAGAACAGCTCGAGCTCTTTGATCAGTGGGGGCTGGAGGACATTGGACTGTTGTATCAGAACACAGGAGGCTCAGAGATGGAAACTTCAGCCCTCAAACTGCGAACACAGCCCCAGCAGGAGTTCAAGCGCAGAGGAGGCTGGAGCCAGAACACAGAATCCAGCCTCAGTGGGGTCACCTGGGGGCAGATCCAGGGAGTAGGAAGAGAAGTTGGAGAGGCTTGGTGGGGAGGGGGCAAGGCTGAGTGTGGCTGAGCACATGGGGGGGGTCCAGGTAGAGCAGGGAGGAGGCAGGGGAGCCTGAGTGGAGTCTTCCTTCTACTGCTCTGACCATGGGCAAGCCCTCCTGACTCAGTCTTCCTATCTGGGAAATGAGCTGTTGGATGACAGCCTTAGAGGGGGACAGAGGAGGGCTCCATGGAGGAGGGGGCTCCAAGCAGGGAGAGAGTGGGGAGGGGCTGCCCCGCTCCTTGAGCTGCGTGCCGTGTGCCAGGTCCCTACTCTGTGCAACAGACTGCAGGGGACGTCCTGTCATTGCATTCTGGCCATAAAGTGGGCCTACTGTGTGCTGAGGGCTCTACATAATGTGTCTACTGTGTGCTGCCTCTTCAACCAGTATGCCTGAGTGCTGAGTGCTATCTATAAAGTGAACCTACTGTGTGCTGACTAGGTGCCATAAAGTGGGCCTACTGTGTGCTGGGTACCATCCATGAAGGATGCCTACTGTGTGCTGCCCGTTCTTTGTGAATTGTGTCTACAGTGTTCCAGCCACACTACACAAAGCACATGTACCATGTGCCAGTTGTTCCCCATGACATGTTCCTGCTGTGTGCTGGCTGCTCTCTGTTAACTCCTGCCTGCTGTGTTTCAAGTTCTCCACAAAAATCTTCTGCAGTGAGTGCTGATCCTCTACATGAAGAATGACGACTGTCTGCTGCTGTACCTACTGTGTGCAGCATGCTCTGCACAAAATGTGACCTCTGTGTGCCAGGTCCTCCATATGACATGAGCCTGCTTTGTGTCAGATGCTCACCCGTATCACCCGGCGCCCTGCCCTCAGCTCTCTGGGACCACAGCCCCTTGGGGATCGGGTGGAGAGACCCAGGTAATGTCATCCAGAGGAAAAAGGAGGCCATTTAACAGAACAGCAAACTGAGGCTCAGAGGGGACAGCCCTCAAACCCAAGACACCAAGCTCAGAGGAATCCAGGCCTGTCAGATGCTCAACCTTTCTCTGCAATGGTGCTTCCCCCCACTCACTGGGGACGACGCTCTCTTCATCCAGGGACATGGATAATGCTGGACCCTCAGGCAATGGGTGGCCCAGAGAGGAGACATCGTGAGGCCCTTGTGTCACCACCAGGAGTCTTCTCACAGCCAGGACGCCCCACCCAGCATATCCTGTGCTCCTTCCAGAAACGACTGTGTGTGGTGTCAGGAGAGAGATGAGGCTCCCAGCAGAGGTGCTGAATGGCAGGGCTGGAGAAGACAGCACTCCTGACACAGTAAGATGCTCATGGGATCCCACACCTCTCTCTACCCCCACTGCAACCTCCAGACCAATCGGCCATGGGATTCAGGCAGCCGGTCCAAGTGCCCTCGGGAGGGGGCTCCCTCCTACCCATGATCTCCTTCCCCTCCGTGGGGACAGAATCCACCTGCTGGCTGGTCCATCACATCAGGTGTCAAAGGACGGGCACAGAGTTTAATAAACCAGGCAGAGCCTTGGAGACACAGTGGCTGAAGAAGCTCCCTGTAGACCTACTATGTGTTTGAGATGGAAGCTTTCCTAACCACCTGCACTGACCAACTTTCAGGGTCACATCCAAAAACTTCACAGAGCATGGTGAGTTTTTTCTCAGTCATGCAGAGGGAAGGGAGGGGAAATCAGGTTTATACGATACAGGAGTAGTGGCCCCAACTCTATCCGGGGAGAGGATGGGGTGCTGTAAGCAGGACCCAGCTGCACTGCAGGCTGTAGTGGTGCTGAAACCCGCCCTCACTTTCAAACCGGAAGCGGTTGCTGCAATTCACTTACACAGCAAAGGTGGTCCATGCACCAGCCCCCGAGGGCATGGCCAGGGCTGCCAGAGGATCAACCTGAGCTGGTTTAGTGATAAACAGCCAGAGAAAAGCTTTGCAAAAGTCCAGAGGACTCACGAGACTCGATATCCACCTACGCTGCAGGGACTTACTAAGTGATGCTCACTCTGAAACATTAATCTGACCACCGCCCCAGTCCCCAGCCCCACAAGCGGAGGTCTCAGGGCAGGGTCTTTGGGCACAGTCCCTGAGGAGGAGAGGGCATTTCTCATCCAAACCCAACAGACGGGACCCAAGAACTCCACTAGGATGAGGAGAGGGTCCTGCAGAGAAAGATACAGAGTTTTGTGTTGCTGTGGATTCATTCTGAGAGGAGGAGCGTGGTGGGGGCAAGAGGCGCGCAGTCACCACACAGACACTGGGAGTCGAGTGAAAGCGGGCCAGAGGTGAGCAGCCCGCAGACTCGTTTATTTCAGTTGGTACAGCAGCTTATATAGCCAAGGCAGCCAATTTGGTAAAGGGGTGGTCTATGCCCTAACCAATCACAGCCTGTTGCCAGGCAGGCTCCTTTGCCAGGTGGGTTCTGAAGCCATTTCCTGAGTAACTGACACTCGCTTGCCAGCGGCCTTCTTGGCGTGGCCTTCTCATTCCACCACAGTTTTGTTCTCAAAAATCTGCAGCAGGCAGGATTAGGCAAGGCTGAAGCAAGAGGAGGGAGCTCAATCAATCCTGATCTCCCTGGTGGCTGAAAGGGACCAGATCCTGGAGCCATCACCAGGGGCCTCATAGGTCCTGCATGAGCAGAAAGATGGGGTAAGATGGAGATGGGAATTAAATCCAGCACTGCAGAAGGTAGGGTGTGGCCATTATAACTGCTAGGCTAAATGTCCATTTGCAATATTTTTCCTTCTAAATATCTACCATTACCAGTTGGTTCATTTTCTTACATGAAGGCTGTGGGTTTTTTTTTTATTTATAATGACCATATAAGCATGAAGCATATTGTTCAAGGAAAGGCTGGCATGCCACAGGGCCTGTGTTAAGTGTACATGACAGGTGGACAGTCAGAGAGCACTGTGGCTGGGAACAAGGCCTCCAGGTGCAGACCAGTTGTGTCCCATCAGGACCTGCTGTGTGAACTCTGGGCGAGACCTTTGCCACCCAGGGGACCAGATTTGTGCCAGGAAACTGGGGTCCCTATCATCAATGATGAGAGACTTTAAATGAGTTTAAAGCAAGATGCTGACAGCAATGCTCCCTGGCACATGGAAAGCACTGGGCTTGTTTTCCCAATACTGTGCTTTCAGCAAGGGCAGGAGTGCCCACCAGGAGCCTCGGGCCCCTGTGGAGCAGGAAGCACAGCCCTCGCTGGCTTTGCACATCCCTTGCGCAGTCCCAAGGCCCTGGACGGGGAGAAGACTTTCAGGAGAGGAATGAGCACCCAGCTGGGGGTCAGATGGCTTAAGGTCAAAACCTGGCTCTGTCTTTCTTCAGCTGTGTGACCTGGGGAAGGGACTTGCCCTCTCTGAACCCCATGTTCCTTCTCCGTAGAACGGACACCAGGATGGGCCCAAGAGAACTCAGGCTGGGCTTCCCACAAGCAGACCCTGATGCAAAGATTCCAGGGGGGACCCTTGATTGGAGGGGACTCTCAGACCAGAATGCAAGGCCCATTGGGAGGGGATTCCAGGGAACACCCGCAGGACAGAGGTGGATTGAGATGGGGAAGGGAGAGCAGCAGCTAGAGGGAGCTTTGTGAGGGCAGAGTCCCCTGTGGGCAGCGGGGACTTGGCCCCGCCGGCAGCTCTGGGAAGCAACACCTAACACACTCCTCAGAGTCGTCCAACCCAGAACACGGGAGCTGGGGCACTCACTCACACACACACACACATACACACACCCTGTTACTCAGGCTAATTCCAGGGACCCTGTCTGTCCAGAATCTCCTGCCTGCACTGCAGGGCTGCAGCCTGGGGTCATTGGCACTGGGCTCCTCCTGTTTCCAACCACAAGCTGACGCTCAGGCTGTTATGGACAGTTAGTCACTGACTCCAACAGACACACACACACACACGCACACAATCGCCAAGTGTCAGTGTACACAAACCTACACACACAACTGTGCATGTGCACACAGTTATGTGTTCACATGTACACACACACAGTGTTCCAACATATGGAAGCAATTACATACACACACACCTGTTACATGTTCACATGTATATACACACACATTGTTCCCACATATGGAAGTAATTACACACACACATGTACACACACCTCCGCATGTGCACAGTTACATGCTTGCATGTACACAAATTGTCACCACATATGGAAACAATTACATATACACACACGTAGACACCTCCGTATGTGCAGTTACATGCTCACACACATATATGCTCCTACTTACGGAAATGATTACACACCCAGATTTGCACACACACGCATGCACTCAAATGGCAGAGTCACACAAATGCAGACACACATACCCTTACACAAACACACACACACACACACACACACAGATATTCAGCTACTAGAGACCAAACACCTAGAGCATGTTATTCCCAAACATTCCAGCAGGGGCAGTGGTCTTCCCACTTGGGAAGAGGAAGAAGCTTCATAGAGACAGGTGACTGTAGGAGCTCTGGGGGTTTGGGAATCACACAAGCAGGTGTAGCAGAGTCCTGGGCACCAGGGCCTCACACCTGCCTGCTGTCCTCCATCACTCCCTGCCACACCCCGCAGAAGGATCTCAGAGTCTGTTTGATGTGGAACAGGAGACATGTGACCCCCAGTGCTGACCACTCTTTGGCTTGGTTGAAAAGTCAAGGAACCGTGGCAGTGACAAATGAGGCCAGGAGAAAGGTACCTGTGATTGAAGAAACGATGATTTATGCTCCAGCAGGAATGCTCCATGGTCAGCACACAAAATGAACGATGCTTCTGTACTGTCCTCCAACGGCCTGCAGCCTCTTTCTGTGTGATCTGTGGGTTCAGTTTCTTAAAATGTTTTAAATGGTTGTAAAATGAGAAGGAGGAGGAGGAGGAGAAGCTAGAGGGAGCATGCAAGGCCCCAGGCACAGATACACAGCAAGGTGCGCGTTGTTCCTGGGCTGGAAGACTCAGTGCTGCTAAAATCTTGGCTGTCCTCAGGGTGACCTGAGCGTCAGGGGATATCAGTCAAGCCCTGTAGGACTCCTAGTGGGAACAGACACCCCGATTAGAAAATTTACCTGATGGGCCGGCGCCGCGGCTCACTAGGCTAATACTCCGCCTTGCGGCGCTGGCACACCGGGTTCTAGTCCCGGTCGGGGCGCCGGATTCTGTCCCGGCTGCCCCTCTTCCAGTCCAGCTCTCTGCTGTGGCCCGGGAGTGCAGTGAAGGAGGCCCAAGTCCTTGGGCCCTGCACCCCATGGGAGATCAGGAGAAGTACCTGGCTCCTGCCATCAGATCAGTTTGGTATGCTGGCCGCGGCGGCCATTGGAGGGTGAACCAACGGCAAAGGAAAACCTTTCTCTCTGTCTCTCTCTCTCACTGTCCACTCTGCCTGTCAAAAAAAAAAAATGTGTGGCTACAAGTGCAGGTGTTTAAAAAAAAAAAAAAGAAAAAAAGAAAATTTACCTGATGCTCTTTCTGCCATCTTTCCGTGCCACCACGACGGGACGCATGACCGTCCTGGCCGATGCTCTCAAGAGCATCAACAATGCCGAGGAAAAGAGAAAAGTGCCCGGTTCTTCACAGGCTGTGCTCCAAAGTCACTGTCAGGTTTCTAACTGTGATGTTAGGAAGCGTGGTTACATTAGCGAATCTGAAATCACTGATGACCCACAGAGCTGGGAAAACTGTTGTGAACCTCATGGGCAGGTTAAACAGGTGGAGTGATCAGCCCAAGATTTGACGTGCAGCTGAAAGATCTAGAAAAATGGCAGAAAGGGCTGGCGCTGTGGCTCACTGGGCTGGTCCTCTGCCTGCAGTGCCAGCATCCCATGTGGGCACTGGTTCTACTGGTTACTCCTCTTCCACTCCAGCTCTCTGCTGTGGCTGGGAAGGCAGTGGAGGATAGCCCAAGTGCTTGGCACCCTGCACCCTCATGGGAGACCTGGAGGAAGCTGGTTTCGGATCGGCACAGCTCTGGCTGTTGTGTCCATCTGGAGAGTGAACCAACGAAGGGAGGACCTTTCTCTCTCTCACTCACTGTCTGTAGCTCTACCTGTCAAACAAATAAATAAAAATCTAAAAAAATGGCAGAATAATCTTCTTCCATCATGCCAGTTTGGTTTCACTGCACTGACAACCCCTCTGGCATCAGGGACCATGAAGAAGCAAGATGAACACACACAGGAGGGAAGATCCTGGGGTCCTCTGTCTAGGGATGTAACACGGGCATACAAATAAAAGCTTAGTGGACAAAAACTTACCTGACAATGTCTTTTATTCCTTTCTCTTCCCTACTGCTGTGGCTAAAACTCCCACAAACACCCACATACCCAACTGTAGAAGACACACAATCTCTCCACACACTTGATCTTAGCCAAAAGGCCAAGAAGCAATCCCGCCATCTCTCACAACTACACACACACACACACACACACACACAGTCCCTCAACCTATGGCAACTACAAACATTTACCATACAAAGTATTTCCTTAATATTTACTCCACTACTGAACACAATTACGACTAGCCAATGTCACTAGAATATACCAATCCAAATTATCAAGTCAGTCATCTCTGTTTACAGATGACATGAGTGTCTATCAAGAGAAATCCAAACACTCAATCAAGAGACTCTTAGAACTGGTGAAACAAACTCCGGAAAAGTTGTAGGATACAAAAGCAACACACACAAATGTTTACATGCCAATACAGAATACTAGTGAGAGCAAATACATAAACAATAGTTAGGAAACAAAGAAAATATCTGTATTACATATAACTAAGGATGTGTAAGCCCTCTACAATGGAAATTACAAAATACCAATGAAACACTATCAAAAAAAGGAAAGACATCCCAAGATCATTGAAAATATGAATTACTATTATTAAAATGTCCATACTACTGATAGGGTGGGCACTGTGGCCCAGTGGGTTAAGGGGACACCCACACCCTATAGCAGAAACCGGCTCAAATCCCAGCCCTGCTGCTCCTGATGCAACTTCCTATTAATGTACCTGAGAAGGCATCAGATAATCGCCCAAGTGCTGTGTCCCTGTTGCCCATGTGGGAGACCTGGATGGAGTTCTGGGATTTTGGCTTCCTCCTAGCTGTTGTGTCCATTTGAGGAGTGAACCTATGGATGGATTCTGTCTCTCCTTGTCACTCTGACTTTAATTAAGTACGTCTTTAAAATATAAAATGTCCATATCCACGAAACAAGTGTACAGCTTCAACATGGTCCCCAATGTTGACATTATTCACAAAAGAGGAAAAAATCCTAAAATTCTTACGGAAGCATAAAAAACCCTTTTCCAGGGCTGGTGCCGCGGCTCTCCTCCGCCTTGCGGCGCCAGCACACCGGGTTCTAGTCCCCGTCATGGCTCCGGATTCTGTCCCGGTTGCCCCTCTTCCAGGCCAGCTCTCTGCTGTGGCCAGGGAGTGCAGTGGAGCATGGCCCAAGTGCTTGGGCCCTGCACCCCTTGGGAAACCAGGAGAAGCACCTGGCTCCTGCCTTCGGATCAGTGCGGTGCGCTGGCTGCAGCGTGCCGGCTGCGGCGGCCATTGGAGGGTGAACCAACAGCAAAGGAAGAGCTTTCTCTCCGTCTCTCTCTCTCTGTCCACTCTGCCTGTCAAAAAAAAAAAAAAAAAAAAGAAACAAAAAAACAAACAAAAAAAAACACCCTTTACCAGTAAAGGGATCTTGAATGAAGCAAAGCTTGGGGCATCCCAACACATTCTGAGACATACTTCGGAGCTAGCAGAACCACACTGCAAGGTACCAGCACGAGACATGCAGAGAAAAGACCAGAGATCCGAGAGTTAACCCTTGTACCTACAGCCAATTACTCACCATGTGGCTGCCAGAAACGGGCAGAAAGCTACATTTCTCCTGGCCCCTCAGGGCAGCCCCTGCTACCGCTTCTCCCCTACACGGACTAGGAAAGAGCTGGCATATGGCCCGCCGGGACCATGAACCTGACCCGCAAACTCCTGGTTGTCCAGCCCAGCCCCTTCCTCCCCAGGAACCAAGGTAACCAGCGCCATGCCCCTGCAGCCACCCAGGACTGTAGGTGCTCCAGGCAAACTCCCTGCACCTGCGCCTGCAGCTGACAGTGGAGACTGGGAATCCGGGGCTCCCTAGGCCCTCGGACGCCAGCCCCGCAGTGCCTGCGCCTCCACGCGGGGCTGCCACAGCGGGCGTGGACGTGAGGGGACCCCGGCTACGCACCCCCACCCCCTCCATGCCCTGGTCTTGTAACCATGGCCGCTGTCTGGGACCTCACTATTGGTTCCCCGCCTCGCTCCGGCTGGGGGCCTGGCCGTTAGGCGCCAACAGCCCCCCAACAAGGCCGCACAACCACCAGCGTGGCTGCCACCCCCACGCTTGTCACCAACGCCAACTCAGGCTCCTGGCCTCTCCGCCACAGGCAGGCGGCAAACCCTACAAGGCGGGAAGAGGCGGCCCCTCTAGCTTCCGCCTTTGCCCCAGCATTCCTGGCGACGGGCCGAAGTGGGGCGTGGCCAGGCTGCTAGAGCGGAAGTCACGTACTCCCGGAAGGGGCGTGGCCAGGCTGCTGTGGTGGGCGTGGCCAGGCAGAAGCAGAATGGCGAGGGTCGATCCTTCTCTCTGGAGACTTGGGCGTGGATTCAAAAGCCTGTGCCTTTCCTAAGGACTTGAACACGTATATATATATATATATTTTTAAAGAAGTTCACAAGGCCAACAGACATGTGAAGAATGCTCAGGATCCCTAGCCCTCAGGGAACTGCAAATCAATACCACAATGAGGTCTCCCCTCGCCACAGTTAGAAATCAAAAAAACAAGTGCTGCTGAGAGTGTGGGGGAAATGCAAACTAGTACAGCCCCTGTGGAACAGCGTGGAGATACCGCAGAAATCTGAATACAGACCCACCACATGACCCAGCCATCTCACGCCTGGAAATGCACCCAAAGGAAATGAAATCAGCGTATGAAAGAGTCATCTGTACCCACTGCAATGCAGCTCAATCCACAACTTCTAAGCTATGGAATCAACCCAAATGCCCATCTGAATAAAGACAGTGCGTTGCAGCTACACACTGTGGAATACTACGCAGCTGTAAAAAAGAACGAAATCCTGTCTTTTGCAACAAAAGGGATGCATCTGGAAACCGTTACACTTAGTGCAATAAGCCAGTCCCAAAAAGATAAATGCCATATATTTTCCCTGATCTGTGGTAATTAACAGATTATGAAAAATGTAATGTATAGGAGCAAAATTGACATTTTGAGATTTGATGATGATTTATAGCCCTTGTGTCTACTACTGAGGAACAGTGTCTTTTTGTTCTTACTATTTGTTGATCTCTTTACTTAGTGTAGAGTTAATCTTTTGAGTATAGAAAACTGAAAGTAGATCATTGTGGGGCCGGCACCGTGGCTCACTTGGTTAATCCTACACCTGTGGCACTTGCATCCCATATGGGTGCCGGGTTCTAGTCCCGGTTGCCCCTCTTCCAGTCCAGCTCTCTGCAGTGGCCCAGGAAGGCAGTGGAGGATGGCCCAAGTCCTTGGGCCCCTGCACCCGCATGGGAGACCAGGAAGAGACTCCTGGCTCCTGACTTCAGATATGGCTGTTGCGGCCATTTGGAGAGTGAACCAACAGAAGGAAGACCTTTCTCACTGTCTCTGCCTCTCACTGTCTGTAAACTCTGTCAAATAAATAATAAAAAAGAAAGTAGATCATTGTAAAAATTGAAAGAAGAAGGAGGAAATGTGTGGGTGAGAGGGAGAGAGGGTAGGATGGGAGTATCACTGTGGTCCTAAGTCTGTACATATGAAATTTGTTCACCTTACATAATGAAATAGATAAATAAGGGGGTAAAAAGGGAAAAAAACTGTGCCTTTTGCTTCCCAGGGGGCTCCAACCATTGAATACACAGTTGTTTTAAAGGTGTCTTGAATAGAATTAAATCTCTCTGAATGCTAGTACCAGTTGTTTTCCAACCAAGTGGTGGCTGAACTCCCATTCTTATACCTTTCCTCATGTTCTTGAAAGTTCAGTGTTCCAGACCGGAAGTTCTTTTTTTTTTTTTTGACAGGCAGAGTGGATAGTGAGAGAGAGAGAGAGACAGAGAGAAAGGTCTTCCTTTGCCGTTGGTTCACCCTCCAATGGCCCTGCAGCCGGCGCACTGCGCTGATCCGATGGCAGGAGTCAAGTACTTATCCTGGTCTCCCATGGGGTGCAGGGCCCAAGCACTTGGGCCATCCTCCACTGCACTCCCTGGCCACAGCAGAGAGCTGGCCTGGAAGAGGGGCAACTGGGACAGAATCTGGCGCCCTGACCGGAACTAGAACCTGGTGTGCCGGCACCACAAGGTGGAGGATTAGCCTAGTGAGCTGCGGCGCCAGCCAGACCGGAAGTTCTAATCTAGCACAGGACACTGACACAGCAGGTAGCAGGGAGGCTCTCACAGTTAGAAGTCTCTGTGGGTGTAATTCTTTGAAGTAATTTTGAAGTTATCTCCAGTGGGCTGTGACTTCAATCGTGAGTAAATACAAAATTCTTCAATGTGACCCAAATTTAAAATGTATTAGCAATAAACATATTTGAAGATTTTTAAATGCCTTGACAGTGTAATTTCTGTTTATATGGGATAAAAGATCCTGTTATAATTGCAAGTAGATACATTTTTTTCTCTCTTGTGGCTGGTGTGGTGGCATAGCAGGTAAAGACACTGTCTGTGATGCCAGCGTCCCATAAGGGCACCTGTTCAGGTCTCAGCTGCTGTACTGCATGGAAATGGCCTGAGAAAAACAGCGTAGGATGGCCCACGTGTTTAGACCCCTGCCAGCCACGTGGGAGATCTGGACTGAGTTGCAAATTGTATATTTGGCCTGGTGCAATCCTGGATGTTGTGGTTGGAGTCTATCTCTGGCAGTCTGAATTTCATACTCTCTGTCATTCTCTCTCTCTCTCTCTGTCTCTCAAACAAAAAAAAATCAGACAAGCAACTCTCTCTCTCTCTCTATATATATATATACCTTGAAAAGTGTACCTTTGTAGCAAAAATATTTTTTAAAGATTTTATTTGGCAGAGAATTTCATACTCTTTGTCATTCTCTGCCTCTCTGTCCCTCAAATAAAAAAATCAAACAAGCAACTCTCTATATAAAATATTTTTATATATATGTATATATGTATATACCTTGAAAAGTGTACCTTTTAGCAAAAATATTGTTTTAAAGACTTTATTTATTTATTTGAAAGCCAGAGTTACACAGAGAGAGAAGGAGAGGCAGAAAGAGAGAGAGAGATCTTCCATCCACTGGTTCACTCCTCAGTTGGCCATAACCACTGGAGCTGTGCTGATACGAAGCCAGGAACCAGGAGCTTCTTCTAGGCCTCCCATGCAGGTGCAGGGCTGTCTTCCACTGCTTTCCCAGGTTATAGAGGAGAGCTGGATCAGAAGTAGAGCAGCCAGGTCTCGAACAGGTGCCCATACGGGATGCCGGCACTGCAGGCGGTGGCTTCACCTGCTACCCCACAGCGCTGGCCCCTGTAGCAAAAATATTTTTAAAAATATTTAAAGTCACTTCTATGACTAAAATCACCAGCTGTCAGCAAGGACGGTTGTTCTGGTCTTCTATGTGCTCCACATGTCTGTATTGGTAGTGCAGCTGATCCAGGCACAGGAGCCCTTCCCCATGGCTGCAGGTTCCTGCTGGAGTTTGAGTCTTTGCTCACTGCCAGAGAATGTGCAACCTTGGCTGATGTCCTCCAAATCAAAACCATCCGATGGAAGCCAGTCCACATTCTGCTCCACACCCTGGCCCTCCCAAGGATAAGCCACACAGCTCTGTGCATCGCTGATCTCAGCCTCACGTCAAAGACAGAAGAACCCACTTGCATTGTCCTCACAGCTGGACGCCCCATCTTATGCATGCCCGCAGCAGCTACCTCCATGTCTCTTCCCAACTTCTCACTTTTCCCTGGAAAAGAGTTAGGACTCTCCCTCAGGCACATCACGTATCACTGATGTGTTGGATGGTTTGATCATCACTTGTCTCTCCAGCTCTGTGAGAGTGAGCACAGTGCTCCCTGTCGAATCCCCAGCCCCACAGAGATGCCAACAGCCCCAGGAGATACAGAGTTCTCTCCTTATTTTTAAAAAGATTTATTTATTTCTTTGAAAGGCAGAGTTACGGGGTGGGGGGGGGGAGAGAGAGAGAGAGAGAGAGAGAGAGTCCATCTACTGGTTCACTCCCCAAATGGCTGCAATGGCTGAGCTGCGCCGATCTGAAGCCAGGAGCCAGGAGTCTCTTCCAGGTCTCTGACACAGGTGCAGGGAGGGGCCCAAGGACTTGGGCCATCTTCTACTGCTTTCCCAGGCCATAGCAGAGAGCTGGATTGGAAGTGGAGCAGCCGGGACTCGAACCAGCGCTCATATGGGATGCTGACACTGCAGGCGGAGGCTTTACTCACTAAGCCACAGCACTGGCCCCAACCTTATTTTATAACTGAACAAAGCTCTGAGTATCAGAGAAGTTAAGGGGCTCCCCTCCAAGCATCCTTGCAAAACTTGAACCCAGGGATCTGAAAGCAAAGCTTCTCCTACTGGACTGAGTACATACAAATCCCCCATGAGTTTACAAAGATGCACCTGTGCTTACATATTTCTGGGCAGGGGCATACGTTACTGTACTTCTGCAAGTTCTCAAGTGGTACCAAGCATAGAGATCTGTGAACCACACTGAGAACTTGAGCTTTAGTGCTCATGGCTGAAAACTTTGCTTTCTTCCCCAGACGCTGAATAACCTGCCAGGGTGTGCCAAAATTTGCTGTCTGTCATGTTGTCCTAATTTGCCGTGGGGTTGGAGGAAATTGCTTTTCCCTTCTGGGTGTCCTGTTCCTCTTCTGCAAAACGAGCTCATGTGGTTGACGTGCAGGGCTTGTGGAATGATTATGCAACAGTTGCAACAGCAAAACACCGAGTGGCATTTACAGAGCCCTTATTCCCCTGGTGAGGATATCAGCTCTGCTCTGGTGTTCAGAGGTGCTGCCTTTGGAAACTGATTAGTGTCAGGTGAGTTCACCAGCTTGGGGCCCTCATGCCTCTCCAGATGAAAACCTGTGTTTTTATCAGAAGAGGGAAAAAGACCAGAACACACACACACACATTACACACACACACACACACACACACACACACACACACACAAAATCTGTCTCTCACATGAGATACTCTGTGCCTTGATGAGTTCTTCCAGCAGGAAGACCACAACCAGATGTGGATCAGAGCCATCAGCCTAAATAAGTCTCTTTTCCTTTGCAGCTTACCAGTCTGTGCTGTTGTGGTCTCAGCGACAGGAAGCTGACTGAGACAGTTGGTCCACGTGGGTGGTGGCCAGTCTTCCTGCTCTAATCTGCTTGTCCATCCCTGGCACATAGTAGATTTACATGGAGCTCAGCTTTTTCAGCCACGGGGTGCTCTTTCTTCTTTGTCTCCAGGAACCTGCCTGATTTATCAGTCTCTGTGCCCCATCCCTTG